TTCACCATTACCATGTACCACCACCGGCCACCACTCACCAACACCCACCACCACTTGTATTGATCACCACCCTATATAGTTGTGAGAATAATGGTCTATATCATTTCATTGATCAACTGTGGATACACACACTAGGTCAGAGCATTTTAATCATTCCAAAAATAAAATGGGAACCGAAACCGAAAACCAATTGGATCCGGTCGATTCTTGATTCTTGAACCAGAATCGTGAGTACCATAATGGAATCGATATTTTTATTATTTTTTACAAATTATAAGTTGGGTAAGAAGAATACAAAATCTAAAATTCTAAACTTGATAGTGATTCGATAATAATAAACTCTAGATATTTTTTTACAAACTCTAGATTCTAATTATAATAAACTCTTATTTGATGGCCATTATTTAAGAAAAATAATATTTTGAATAATAATTTTTAGGAGAATGTATGGTTAAAAAGTATGAAAAAAGTTTTGGATTTACAAGCAGAATATTTTATTTTGTGAATGTGTGGTTGAAAATGAATATATAAAAAAATAGTTCAAATAATGGTCATCAAACATGGGCTAAATCAAGATTGGCTCCTACGTTTTTTCCTCCTGCCTCATATCAGAGTATTGCATTATAAATGTTAGTACATGTTAATCGTTGTAATTTGGGTTTTCTATGAATCAAAAGTTAGAGTCGTGGTGTAAGTTGATGAATCAAAACATTTATTATTTACAATTTGAGTTATCTTCTTGCATTATTTACAAATTTAAGTGATTTTTTTAAATTTTTTAGAATGTATGGCAATTGAACTTGATATATTCATAGCTTATGTTGTAATGGATCTTTTTGGTTATCTAAAATAATTTCTTGATGTTTTAATTTTTTCCTCTTTTCTTGGTATTTATTTTGAGTTATGTATCTAGATTTCTCCACTTCTTGAAAAATTTTTAGATGAATTTTCTTATTACACAAGTATTGTTGAGTAGTAGCGTGTTAGGCATACATATCGAAATGTTGTATATGAAAATATTTATTATATATATATATATATATAACCGAACTCGACGGTTCGGATTTGGGTTTGATTTCAATAATTACAAGGAACCAAATGATTCCATTTATAAAATACCCGAAATATAATGGGTGATTCAATGTATTGAAATATTTGGATCGATCTAATAAGATAAAGAGGATGGAAATTTCTAGTCCACTTTAATTGAATAATATCAATCAAATATATACAGCAAAAATACAAACCGACTTGCCTAGTTACAAGCCTAAATAAAAGGCTAAGCTAAAATACAAAAAAAAATGATAAGGCTGAAATGCAGAAAATTGGTTACAACAACAATAGTCAAAAGAATTTAAATAAATTCAAATATCCAAATATTGCTAATATGCCCCCTCAAGATGGAGCATGAGAGGCAAGTTCAATCTTGTTCTCGAGAAGAAGAAATTTGGCCCTGGGAAGAGGTTTTGTGAGTGCATCAGCAAGTTGATCAGTAGATGAAACATGTGCAACCCGAAGAGAGCCCTTTTGAACTTGATCTCGAATGAAGTGAAAATCAATAGCAACATGTTTCATTCTTGAATGGAATACAGGATTAGAACACAAATGTGTGGCCCCAACATTGTCACAATATATCACTGGAGTTCTTGGAATAGGAACATCAAGATTAGTCAAAAGAGAACAGACCCAATTAAGTTCAACAGCAGTAGCAGCAACTGATCTATATTCAGCCTTTGTCGAAGATCGAGCAATGGTGCGTTGCTTCTTAGAACTCCAGGGGATAGGATTCCGACCAAGGTAAACAACATAAGCACTAGTAGATGAGTAGTCATCAATGTTACCAGCCCAATCCGCATCAGAAAATGCATTAAGAGAAAGTGGAGAATCAGCAAAAGCATGTAACGATAGTGGTGAGTCTCGATATAAAAGGATTCCGTCATTTAATGTACTACAAAGATAACGTAAGATACGCTTTACAAGAGCCCAATGATCAGTGGTAAGCCGATGCATAAAATGAGAAAGCTTATTTACTGCGAAAGTATATCAGGCCGTGTAAGAGACAATATTGCAAACTTCCAACAACAGTTCGATACTCAGTAGGATCAGTAAGAGGAGAACCGGAATGCAAGGAGATGGAGGGAGTAGTAGGAAGAGGCGTTTGAACCGATTTTGCTTCCAGCATGTTGGTGCGAGAAAGTATGTCCAGAGTATAACGCCTTTGAGAGAGTAAAATACCATGATCATGAGGAACAACTTCCACACCAAGAAAGTAGAAGAAGGACCCAAGATCCTTCAAAGAAAATCTGGCAGCAAGTAAATCCACAAAGCAACGAACTACTTCATCATTGTCACCGGTGAGAATTATATCATCAATATAGACCAAAAGATACATAAGATGACCAGCAGTGTTGAGAACAAAAAGAGACGTATCGGCATGGGAGTTCTGAAAACTAGAAGTAAGAAGAAAATTACGAAGCTCATGGTACCAGGCCCTGGGAGCTTGCTTGAGTCCATAGATAGCTTTTTGAAGTTTACAGACATAAGATGGATAGTCGGGATCAACAAAACTTGGAGGTTGTAACATATAGACATCTTCAGAGAGATGGCCTTGCAAGAATGCGTTGTTAACATCAAGTTGTCGTAGTGACCACCCACGACTAACAGCGAGGCTAAGAACAAGACGGACTGTGGTGGGCTTAATCACGGGACTAAATGTTTCATGATAGTCGACTCCAGGGCGTTGGTGAAAGCCTTTAGCCACCAAACAAGCTTTAAACCTGTCAATGGTGCCATCAGGGTTACGTTTAGTTCGATAAATCCACTTATAACCAACAATATTATGACTAGCAACCGATAGTACTAGCTCCCATGTCCCATTTCGAACTAGAGCATCATACTCTTCAGATATGGCCCGACGCCATTTTGGATCTTTGAGGGCTTGGGTCGCTGTGGTTGGTTCAAAATCAGTATGGTGAGAGAGTTGAGTGGATAGATTTAGTTTCTGAACAGGCTTGCGGATGTTGTTCTTGGCCCTGGTAGTTATTGTGTATGTGGGAGGTTGTCGGGAGGAATTATTTGGGGCAGAAGAAATCGTGTTATGTTGGGGATTGGTGGAAGGGTCTGAGCTGGTTTGTTGGGTATGGGATGGATGTGGTATTTGCGGTAAGTCTAAGAGTGGAGGTTCAATGGTGGTAGATGTTGATGGAGCATTTCATAGGGGCTGCTCTTGAGGTTGCACGTTAGGTGGTGTAGGAAGTGGCTGTATCTGATTGTTGACAGGGGATGGTGATAATTGGAGGAACCCAAGTATCTATAGTGTTGGATTCAGCATGTGGTGGTTGACTAGAATGAGAGACAAAGGGAAAGACATTTTCAACAAACTAGACGTGACGTGAGACAAAAATTCTAGATGTGGAAGTATCAAAACATAAATAAGCCATTTGAGTGAGAGAGTACCCAATAAAGACACATGGTTTGGAACGAGAATCAAGCTTGTGGGAGGAATATGGTCGAAGCCAAGGGTAGCACAGGCAACCAAAGACTTTAAGTTTTGAGTAGTTTGGGGCAGAACCAAAAATTTGTTTATAAAGAGATGAGAGATTGAGTGTTGAAGTGGGCATGCGATTAATGAGATAAACAGCAGTGGCAAAAGCATGTGACCAAAATTTCAGCGGAAGGGAGGCATGAGAGAGTAGGGTGAGACCAGTTTCAACAATATAACGATGTCGTCTTTCAGAATATCCATTGTGTTCAGGAGTATGTGGGGGTGTGGTGAGATGAAAGATGCCATTCATAGCAAGAAAACTATTAAGAGCCAAGTATTCACCGCCGTTGTCAGAATAAAGTGTGATGATTTTATTGTTAAAATATTTTTCCGCTATAGCTTTAAATCTAATAAATACATCTTTAACTTCAGATTTGTGCCTAAGTGGGTAGAACCAAATATATTTGGTGAAGTGATCAACAAATATAACATAATATTTAAAATTATCATGTGAAAGAACATGTGAAGTCCACACATCTGAGAAAATGATTTCAAGGGGTTGAGAGGAACTAAGAGATGACTTGGAAAAGGATAATTTGTGGCTCTTATTGCAATTACATGCATTGCAGAAGAAAGTAGACGACGTGGAAGATGACAAATCTAATTTATAATTGGAAACCATATGTTTTAAAATAGGATAAGCAGGATGTCCTAGTCTATGGTGCCACTCGGACGAAGTGGTCTTGACACTAGAAAAGGCTAGTAATGGTGAAGAATTTTGATGTGATACTGGCCACTCATACACTCAGTCCTTAGTTTTTCCCTGCAAAAGAATTGCCCCTGTGCGAAGTTCCCTCACAAAAAATGAAGATGGTAAGAATTCAATGGAAACATTATTTGAGGTGCAAAATTGAGAAATGGATATCAAGTTCTTTTTCATGCTGGGTACACAAAGGACATTGTTTAAAGCAAAAGTAGTGTGAGAAGTTTTAAGAGATGTGGAACCAGTGTGAGTAATGGAAAGACCCGTGCCATCTCCAATCATAATGTTGTCGGAACCGGTGTATGGTGCATGAAGAGGTAAATTACTCAGCTCGGAAGTCACATGGTGAGAAGCACCACTATCCAAGAGTCATGTTGGATTGTTGGAAGCAGTTGCAGCAGAGTAAGCTTGGGGCTGCCTTGGTGATTTTGAAGTGGACACGGTTGCATTTGAGGCATTGAATGGTTGAATTGGTACCAAGCGAAAATAGGGACATCTCTTGGCAGCATGACCCTGATATCTGCATATTTGACAGTAACCGATATAAGATGGTGGTGGAGAATAATTACTTCGAAAAGAGTCAGGAAAATTAATGTATTGATTGGGAAGAGTGGGGAGAGTTGTTTGTAGTCATAGTGAAAGGCCTTTGCGTGAGTTGACAAAATGAGGTTTCTAAAACCTGTAATTGCTGGTGATACTTTGGTTTTGAAAAAGACACTTACTAATTCACAGAAATGATTTGGAATAGCAAAGATGGAAGGAAAAGCATATGTTGGAGGAAGAGGTGGTTTGGAAGGTTAATCCTTGATGGCTACGGGGACTGGAAGTGAAAAAAAAAAATCAGGCCAAGTGCTCTGATACCATAATAAGATAAAGAGGATAGAAATTTCTAGTCCACTTTAATTGAATGATATCAGTCAAATAAATATATACAGCAAAAATACAAACCGACTTGCCTAGTTACAAGCCTAAATGAAAGTCTAAACTAAAATACAAAAAATAGATAAGGCTGAAATGCAGAAAATTGGTTACAACAACAATAGTCAAAAGAATTTAAATAAATTCAAATATCCAAATATTGCTAATACGATCCACCCGACACCCACGCCTAATATATACATTACAAGCATAATAGAATGTTAGAAAATTACCTAAACTAAAGGATTTGCACTACTGCATATAGTAATCTAAAGCTGAAAGATAAATTACATTATCACAGGAATCAATTAGAAAAGTAAGTTTAAGGAAATAAGCTATATATAATCAATTATTTCCTTCTATATGCCACAATAAGATGGAGCCCTGAAAGGAGATTCCAATCTTGTCGCATGGAGGAAGATGACGTGCACGCGAAATAGGCTTTGTGAGGGCGTCCACTAGCTGATCAATAGATGAGACATGAGTAACTCATAGTGCACCATTTTGGGCTTCATCACGAATGTAGCGATAATCAAGGCCAATGTGTTTCATACACGAATGAAAAATAGGATTGGAACATGGATGTGTTGCACCAACATTATCATAGTAGATGATAGGGGGAGCCGGAATGGTAATCCCTTTAATTATTCTTGTCTTGTTTAATTTTTCCATTTAGCTTAGTTAGGTGGCCTGATTACTTCGGGATGAAAACCAATGCCTTGTGGATGAACTCATCCTTTAGCCATATAAAATCTAATTCAATACACAATGTGAGTTTTTTTTTTTTTTTTTTAAATGAATAAAATCGATAGTTTAGAATTTATCTAAGAATTTCTTTGATCTTAGTCTAGTATTTCGTGTGTAATCAATGGATTTGTGATCAGTCTTTGTTTTTCTTCATGTCCCAATTCAATTCCTATGCGTCAATATCTTATCTACAAGTGAGAAAAAAAATTAGGAGCATGTTTGGGTAAACTTAAAATCCAATTAAAATTGAAAATATAATTTTTATTGGGTCTCACTCGTTTGATAAAAATTAACAATAACGACTAATTTTTCAATTTTAATATGATTTTAATCTCTACCGAACACGCCTTAGACAAATTCAATATTGTAACTTATTAGATGAAATAACAAAATTGTGCATCTAATGAAATCCGATCTTATAATTTGGTCTATAAAATTAATTAGGGTGCGTTTGATTGACAAATGTGAAAATTAATTCAAATTCCATGTTAATTGGAAAATAAAAACCCATCAAACCCTAATAAATTCGTTTTCCATGAAGAGCAAAGAAAATGCAGCTTAAACGTAATTGAACTTTGAAATTCGATTTCCATTAAATGGTCAAAGTGAAATTCATTTTCTTCGAATATAACATTTTCCTTTAAATTCGTTGCAATAATTAGTGAACTCACAAGAAAATCATGTAACACCCGATTAAAAGGTTTGCGCCGCCAAACTATAACCTATGCTTGTTCAAGTCTTATTCACAGAGCAAAGGGGAACAAGCGGCTAAGGTTTTCTTCATCGGAATAACGCTAAAAATATTGGGGGAGAGGCAAAATGGGGACATATTCATCACCCCCTTGGCACCAATTTATCTTGTGTAGCAGCGATTTCTAGTCAACTTCTCCATTAACAGAGTTGGAAGGTAGTATCGGATTATCATTAGTGTAAAAACGGAATTTATATGTTGAAATCGCACTAGATGTGATTGTTGTGAATGATTTAATTTTTTTTTTTGTTTTGATTAGTTGAATATTAGCGGAAGTTTCCTTTTTTGATTTTCCGTTGAAATTCTGCAGATATTATTGTGAGGCCATTTCATAGAATTATGGATTCAAAAGCATTGGCGAAATCAAAGAGAGCGCATTCATTACATCACAGTAAGAAGCATAATCCTCATCAGACATCAAAAGCACCTTCAGTTAGCTCAGGTACAGCTAGTGGTGGAAAGAAGCAGCCTGGCAAGCAAGTTGCAGACAAACCCCAACAATCTCAGAATTTTAGGAAACTCCCGTCAAATTGGGATCGTTATGAAGAAGAATTTGATTTGGATTCAGAGGACACAGTCCAAGAGAGTAGTAGCCAGGCAACTGATGTTATGCGAAAGAGTAAAGGCGCTGATTATGCTTACCTACTTTCAGAGGCCAAGGCTGAGTCACAAGGAAATTATTCTTCCGATATCTTTTCTTCACTCAATGATGTCCTTGATGGTATATCCTTCACCCTTAAAAAAAAACGAGAGAGAGACTTGGTTGTTTTGATCTGTTTAATTGACACATACACCTACAATCTTCTAATGACTGGCTTGGGCAGTTGATTTTTATTTTATTTTATTTTTATTTTTTTCATGAAGTGTGCCCTATCATATCGTTATAATTCAAGGTTAAAATTAGGCAATGAAGTTTATCAGAGAAGAACCTAAAGAAGTTCATCAGAGAAGTATGCTTAGGTTCACGAACTTGTTCTATCCCTAATTAACATTTTACCCACTCTTTCTGTAACAACTACCCTGCAGTTTTGGGGAAACATGTTTTTGAATCGCAGTCAAAAGTAAGATGTACATGGGCATTGTTTTACTTTGTCACGAATCCCTGCCGACTTTCTTTTCTTCTATAAAATAGTAAATCGGTGTAGAAGGTTTGGACTTTATCTCAGTATTGTCTTTTATTTGTCTATCATTTAATGGTGTCTTCAGTGACTCTTTCTCTCTCTTTTGACTTTTGTTTAAAGCATTTTTATGCGGAGATTTTAGTTCTTCCAAGTTTTTGGCGGAGTTGAGGGAGTGCGCGTTTGATAACTTAATTTCTCTATCATAATTGTTGATGTACTAGACATGCATCCTACCTCCTATATCATGCATCTAAAACATTAGTTATATTGTGTGATCTTGGCATATGTGTTGAAAAATTTGAGTAAACGATGCAAATCATGTGATGAACTAATTGATCAAATCGTCATTTAAATTTTTTGTGCATTGTATTTTGTGGATATTATGACTGGGAATTGACTTCAGTCTTTCTTAGACTTCACTCAGGGGTTAGGTCCATTGCTTTCTGCCAGAGGGCAAGGCATTATGTCATGGATAGCAGTTGATAACTTCAAGGTGGAAGACAAAGCAACTACCAGTTATGAGGTTATCTTTCTTTCTCCATTAAACGAAAACTGAAGTTGCTCTACTTGTCCATTAGTCTTTTCTAGACGCAGTCAGAGTTTGTTAGAAAGAGAGAAATAGAGTGCTAAAATAGTAATCACAGCCTTCTATGTGGTAATTATTTACCAAATTGTCAGGACATAGTAGCGTATTGTCACGGGGCTAGAGTTCTCACACCGGAACAACTAGACACCGTGCGGCCTTAACGCACCAATTCCCGTCCCTATGAAAAAACGTTAAGTTAGCCTTTCGACGTCACCAAAATAATTCAACCTTGCTAGGCTAAATTACCACAACTTTTAGTATGAGATTTGAAGTAATAAAGAAGACAAGTATTTTTGGGAGAAAATCTCTCTTTGTATAAAAACTCCACTACAATGTGATCTAAGAATTATATGAATAGCATGAATCCCATAAATTGCATGCCTTCCAACAATTCTCTCAACTCACATATACTACATGAAATTCTAATCTCTAATGTATAAATTACAATGGGACTTCTCTTCTATTTATAGGCAAACCTCCTTGGATTAAGTGGCTAGGGTCAATTCCCATCCAAGGGCCCCCATTTGCTACAATTTGCCTTAAACCTCCTTAAACTAAGTGGAAGCAAACTTGGACTTTGCTTCTTGCAAGTGGGATTTTCCCTACAAAAATCTTATGGGATTAATGTCCCTTTCATAGTCATCAATTTGAGTTTTGCTTCCTCCCTTGGTCATTCTCTTGCAAGTTGGTTAAGTAACCAACTTGGACAAGTCTTCCCAAAATATCCCAGAATCTGCCCATGGTATTTTTCTCCTAAAAACCACCTGGATTGCTGGGAATTACTGCTCATGTCACGCCCATGTCGCTGCTTTAGTCAGGCAGCCTGCAATCTTTGTTGCTGCGCTGTCTGCGTGGTGTCGTGACTGCAGTCTGTTTCTGGTCATGTCCTGGCTGCGTCCTGGGTGCTGCCTGCAATCTACCTGTGACGTCCTGGGCACTGCCTGTAATCTGTCTGGGACGTCCTGGACGCTGCCTGCGACGCCACCTGATCGCAGTTCCTGCCTGCACCCGAATTTTCCAGCCATCACCTAGACATGTCCTTGACATGGACTTTCCCCTATGGACACCAGTCATCTCCTTATGAAATTAGGTGACACCAGCATCGCCGTGTACGGTTGAAGCTTAGATCTAATCAACCAAATATCTACTTCATTTTCCCATTTGGTGCCATGATATTCCCGTGTCAAGTCCCATCTCGTGTCACTACCTTGCGGTCCGTGACAGAATGCTCATGTGCAACAATATCCTTCAAATTCTTACATATTTTTTTCCCAATTTTTCATCTTTGATCACTTAGAATCCTATTCCCCCTCCCACCCCAAAATGAAAAATGATCAACTATCCATAGAATATATCAAGATTTTAACTTTTGTTGGTTACCCCAAAAGAGACTCCGCAACCATGATAAAAAAATGCGTGAGCACTGTCTACTAGAGTGGTGACATTCCTAGATATGTTTGGCGTTCAATAAGAATTAAATGGTGGGTTTTGTATAAGGGATGGTTGGCCATGTACTTAAAATTTGTATAATTTCTGATAATGTTATGTCTCAGTGGTAGTATTAGATTTTGCCAGATATGTTATACTTCCCTAAAATCGTTTTGGCACAATATTTATTATATCATGGTTCCATCATATAACTTCTATCCTATGTTTTTATCACTCGGAATTGCATTCTATCATACTGGTGGTACTTCATGTAGAATTAACAAATTGGATTAGTCGTTACACATAATTAGAATCCAAAAACCCAATAAAAGGGAAATGAAAAGGAAAATAGTTAAAAAGTAATCTAAAACATATTAAATTATATTCTCTATTTTTTCTTTCGTTTGAAAACAATGTTAATACTTGAGAGACTAAAAAATCGAAGTTCAAAGAAACAAGATTTGGTTCGCATACCATAAAATAAAGAAAATCAGGTAACTTTTCATGTATTTTCTCTTTCATATTTGATTCTTAATTCGCCCAAAATGACATTCGAGAACCGGCCTAAGTAATGTGTGGTGTAAAGGATGTAGATTTCTTCATCAAGAGGGAAATTCTTATTAGCTAGGTTAGGTATTTTGATTCCAAAAATGGTAAAAAATAAAAATTGGATTGCCATGTCAGAGACAATAGGCACACTCGTTACACCATTTGTTCAAGTCTCTACTTATGCGACAAGGAATTTTGATACCTTAGGGCGATTAGAGTTACTACCACCATTTATCGGGGTTTCCGTTCGAAGCAACTTTCATTCACGAGTCTCATGGAATTGAATTCAGCTTGTGCTGATTTTCCTCTTATGGAGTGAAGTTATCTTTTTATAAGAACTGGCCTTGTGCTTTCCCTCCATCTCCCATGATATACCTGTCTTGAACCTTTTTTTTACCAACTAAAACCATGAGTGGGACAGCTGTAGGTTTATGATTTAGAATTATTTGCAGAAGAAGACATGTCAAAGGTGATTCTATCTTCCCAAACAAATCCTCCTACATCTATATATAAATGCTCATTATCAAGAAAAAACACTTTTAATTGTTGATTAATCGTTAGATATTTCTTAAAACCAATAGTTTATTAACAAAAGAGAAAATTTAAAAAAAAAAAAAAAAAGGAGTTAAGTTCTAACTTTCTCTTCTACTTTAATTGTTGGGAAGATGAAAAACTATTGTGTTGATAAAGATTTTCGAATAACCTTAAGTAATATGGCCCATGTTGTCAAGCCCATATATAAAGATGCAAAATAAGCAGAGCAAAAAAGATCACGTCTTTTAATGGGAAAGGGACTGTGGAGACTTTTACATGGAAACCTCATGTCTCTTTGGTCCATTGACCAAATGCATAGTTAAATGTTTCTGTGGTCCGTGTCAATGAATGTCCATGCACGTGCATGAGTGAGTGACTGTTGAGATGGTCCTGGATGAGGGACTGCGACCGCCACGTGCCGCGCCGGAGGCGCGTGTGCCGGCGCGTGAAGGCCACGCGCCGGNGGAGCAGTGTCAGTTCAAATGCATTTTGAAAAGTCCTATAGATGGAAAAAGATTCTCTTTGAAAAGTAGTTTTGTATCATTGTTTGAGAATTAAATATTTTTACCTATGAAATGTCAATTTAAGAAAAGCAACGAAGTTGAGTTTACTCTTAAACACACAAACACACACATGCATAACATTTGCTATTTCGTTGTTTAGAGTAACAGGTTGAAGTCATCCAAGGTTATATGACTCATATATCAAATAGACATAGATCAACTACCTGGGCAAAACATGGCGATTTACATTAATCTTTAGGTTTCTAATTTCTTTTTAATTACTATATTGTTTTGAGCATTCGCCTCGTTTCAAATTTTATTGCATCCTACATAAAGGAATCTTGAAAATTAAATAATAACTGAAAACATACAATCGAAAGCTTTATTTAGTATTCAATGAAAACATGTGAAGTTTTCTTGTGCATCCAACTGTCTTGTGGTATTAAAGGTTTTCTTTCATATGTCATTTTAGTCGCAAAGCACAATGAAAAACTAGAAGCAAAGGAACAATGTAAATGTTATACAATTTTTTGCAGTAAAATAAATCATGACAATTCCATTTTATAACTCTAAAGGTGAGAAGTTTGAATATGTGACGTTGACATGCCTTCATTCCCTCTAATTTTCAATATATGAGCGATATGAAAGATGACTTATAAAGTTTTGCATTCACGGTGGTACTGAAAATCTTCCATTATTTTGGCTCCTTTTTAGTGGAAGTTGAGTGTTCAAACATTGTTATGTAGTAACCAGCTGCACCCTCTGTCCTTTAGGAACCATTAAGTCGGCATCCATTTTCAAGCTTGCTAGAATATCTTATAACCGAGTCCTCCTTGGCCCTTTCGTTAACAGCTATTCCACGAAAATAACTAGTTTAATTTAATGCTGGAAATGTTGCATTAGGTGTATCTAAGTTTTTTGTTTTTTTCCATTTTTTTCTTTTTATCAGTTTCCCTTTCTTCTTCTTCTTCTTCTTCTTCTTGATGTATTTATTGCTCCTAGAATAGAAAGAAGAAGAGAAGAAAGTATTGGCTTTTTTCTTTCTTCTGATAAATGTTGCATTTGTAATTATGCAGGCACCATTTCTATCGCTAAATCTGCAAACTCTTTCTGCACAACTTGCAAAAGCAAAGGTTTCAGAAAGGCTTTTCGCTGAACCAGATTTACTGCCTCCAGAGCTGGTACTTAAAATTTCCTTTTATCTATTCTTTTTTTGGTCCTCGTAGTTCCACTCTAAATTTCTTCATGCCTCATATCTATTCATAAGGTCAATATAGGCTTTTCATCTTGGAGTTCTTTTGCACATCAAGTGCTGCTTGTCATTGTTGATTCTCTGATAGAACCTACAGAAGCAAAAGGCTTATGCACAAATTTCACTTTCCTTAGGTAGCTGAATGGCATCAGTTGTGCTTTGAAGCTTGTGCACAACACATGGCTACACTTTTATCAACTGATGACTAATACATCTTGTTACCTTTTCCTGCTTTATATTTATGACTCTAGCGACTTTTTAATTCTGAATGAGTATTTTTTTATTTTAAAAAAATTGCCCCTGCTTTTCAGATTATTTTGCAAGGCCAATGATTTATGGATGAGTAATCTATTTTTACGCATATAGGTTAGGCTCCAGATCTGAAGTGCGACTTGGGGCACCTGGAGCCAATTCAGGTTTATGTTGTAAATTTATTGGCCAAATTTGCAAATCATTTGGTTTAATACTGGTGAAAGCAAGATTTAAACGAACATGTGCGGCGACCCTATAATAGCTGAAACTCTTAGATGAGATTGTTACCATGGTGTCATGCAAAGAAACATGGATTCAAGTCTCATCTCCACCCGTACAGTGTTAGACCTCTGATCTAAAAATGAAGATTAATGCTATTCATCTAGAATTTAGATGATCATCGATCAATGTGGCAGTGGGGTCACGTCACGTTGTCCAATGAAGTGCGAATACCTTTTTGGAGATTGGACAATGACCCCACTACTATATAGACCGATGATTATCTAAATTGTAATGAATAAAATTACTGAAAAATGAATTCAGTTTGCACATAAGGGGCTATATTGAAGGCAAGATTTAGATGAACACATGTAGTCACTTTCTAAAATCTTAATGAGATGGTTGACGAATACGAAAACTATTCTTTCCTACCAATTCAGCCGATAGGATTGTGCCACATTTGCAGCTGAAGATTGCCTGCATTATAGGATATTGAAGACAATATTTAAATAACACATGTAGTCACTTTCTAACATCTCAATGAGATGGTTGACAAATACGAAAACTACTCTATCCTACCAATACAGCCTATAGGATTGTGCCACATTTGCATCTAAAGATTACCTACACTATAGGAAAACTGCTTGCTTGTACAAATTAGCAGTTTGCAGGGAATTGAGCCATTATGTCCACAATTTGTTAATACTACGGATATACCAACAAGCCAAAGATGGTACTTCTGTAAGTTTTGATCTAAAAATTGCTATTCTTGTGACATTTCAACTTTTTTATGTCTATTGTGACATTACACTTGAAGTCATAATGCACACTTTTATGGCATATACTTTCATTAATATCTAATTGCATCAGGGACACTCAAGGTGTTCTCATTCTCTAATTCTTAAGTGGTGACCCTCTTGGTCCGCTATTTCCCTGTATTCAATAAAGTTAACATTGTTAGATGAATTTTATGCTTCTTATGGGTGATTTTACTATCTTAGTAATCTTAATTGGGTAAAATCTAGGGAAAAATACTAAAATTTTCTGATAGTAAATTTTGTTATCTAAATTGCCCAATAAATTTTATAAGCATTTAAAGAAACCTAAACTAGCAATTTTCTTACCACGGGATGACTATTCAATTAAGTCTTAGCACCATTCAAATAAACTCATTCAATTTTTTGAGGCATTTCAGTTCTCAACCTTTCTGAAAACACCACCATATGCTCTCTCACACCCAGCCCACCACCATCCGTCCCCCACCCCCCACCTTCCATGACTAAAAGGCAAGAAGATCTAGAAATTAGTAGCTCGACTGGTAACAGAAACAGTAACCACCTAAAATTAAAAAAGTTGATTGCCAAATTGTTTATAACTAAATTTTCATGTTGGAAACTAGACACAAGCATCTATGGTTTTTGCTAACAAATCCCATTTCAATACATTTTTCGAATAGGAATTTACTGAGACTTGGTTTTGCAATGTGAGTTTGGATAATAGTTGTCTTAATTCATGCAAATCGATTGTCATTGTACTCATTTTTCTTTTCTGAGTTATGCCTGGTAGCTTGATGAGTTACAAGAATACAGCGGAGACAAACATGATGTCGGACAAATTTCACACGAGACTCTTGCGGCTGATGTGTCATCCCTCAGTCGAGAGCCTGAAGAAAATATATTCAAGGAACGAGATTGTGCATCTATATGTTCTGCTGCCACCATCACCACAGATCTTCCTGTTGCAACTGCTATTGATGTGAATCACACTGACCAAAGATCTTTACCCGAGTCCATTTCAAATGCCAATGTGGACTTGGCTGCTAAGAAATCAGCTAGATTTGAAGCAGCTGATGCAGAAGCAGAACTTGACATGCTTCTTGACTCATTTGGTGAAACCGAGTTTTTTGATTCCTCAAGTGTGACGAAGAGATCAAACACCTTATCTTATCTACAGCAAGAAGATATTTCTCAGTTGGGCCCTGCTGAAAGTTTGAACAAAGGACACGATGCTGAGAAACATTCCAAGATGCCTGCCCTTATGGACAACACTATTGACAACCTACTTGAGGAAACATCTGCTCTGATAAACATAAATGATAAAACGCTACCTCATAATGTAAAGGCTGCCCCCTCTTCCTTGGATGCTGTTTCCAAATCGAAACTATTGGATGATTTTGATTCTTGGTTAGATACGATTTAATACGACTGTTGTATTATTAGCTGATATGAAAGGGATATTCTTTCATTTCAACATGTTTAGTTTGATACATGGCTCCAAAATTAGCCTCCGGCACTCACTCAGAATGGTGGAATGCAAATGACCTTTTCTGTAGACTAGACTGTAGAAAACATTTTTTATCCAGATAACGGATGAATATTGTAGTGCTTGGTGAATCAAAAATTTGGGTCTTTAATATTGTTCAAGTCGTCTGACCAGATAAGTTTGATCAACTGTGCAATACTAGATTCAGACTAATCTTGCAATACTAGATTCAGGCTATTCTTGTACGATAAGTTGTTATATCTATTTATAAATTAAACCATTAATAGATTCTTTCCAAACAGGTTGTAAGTTTAAAGACTAACAAAGACCATTTTAAACTTCAGGGTTTTATGAGCACATGATGTAAATTTCAGGATCATCCAGAATTTTTATAACATACTAACACATCAACAGATTCCACCTGGGATTCATGTTAGAATGCAAGAAATAAATTCCAATGCACTCCAAAGAACCAGGATCAATCTACTCTCTCTTAAAAGAGAGACTTCTGGGATCACTATTCATTTGAAAATTTCTTACACGCATTACTGTTCCATGTGATGCCAAAAGAGACGAATTTCCATCAAAACAAATGAACAGTGATCCCAAGAAGTGTTTTTTGATTGACTCGCCTAATATATGGACACGGTAGAAAGTAAATTGTTGAATAATGAACTCTATTACCTTGATTGAAAAAATATCCTGATAGAAACCATGAATTTGTGCTCCCCATGCAACAATGCATGTTGTATTTCTTACTCATTAAGGCAATATGTGATCACTGTTCATTTGTAAATTTCTCACACACATTACTGTTCCATGTGATGATAAAATAGGCGAATTTGCATGGAAAAAAAAAATACCCTCAATTGAGGATATTTATTTGTTGATTGACTCACCTAACATCTACCTTCAATATATGGACATGGTAGGAAGTCAATTCTTGAATAATGAACCCTATTACCTTGACCGAAAAGATCGCATGATGGAAACCATGAATTTGTGCTCCCCGTGCAACTCTCCATATATAGACAAGAAAAAAAATGCGTGTTGTATTTCTTACCCATTAAGTAATATGATCACGTGAAAGGTGTAAAATTATTACTCATCGGTAAAATGTCATGTATAGCTATGGACACATGTAAACACATATTCCTCTGGCCATAATTTTTGACTAACTAACTGTAGCACCTTCAATTTGCACGCCCAGCACCAGTATGCCACATTTCCATATGTGTCCATGTGTAAAAAATTATACATTCGTTCGAGGCATTTTCCGTCAAACTACGTCTATGTATTATATATATACAAAATTCTCCGAAGAAAACCACTTCCCTTATTCTCACAATTACAACAACTATAAAGAAAGAGTCCACTATTTCTACATTTCGCCACAAACATTTTTGAATTACTTTCGGTCCATCTCCTCCATATTTGCAGTGATCGCCGATTGACCTCCCTTCTACGATCAGGCAATTTTTTATTCACTATACTTATTTTACACTAACACATATCGTTTAATTATAATATTTATTGATACGAAAAGTTTCTTCCATACATTTTTTTTATGGTTCTTTCTATATTACAGTGACATGGAAGATTTAGAAAAGATGGATTTCATCTTCTATAAGATGGATTTACAGTGACGTTTCCGTGCTACACAACAATTATTTTTACTTTTAAAATATTTAAATGTTGACTTCAATAATTTCTTTTACGTCTTGCCATTGACAACTATCGAAAATGAAAAAAAAAACCCCCAGAGATATAGTGCCTCCATGAGATCCGGAGGCATCATGTCACAGAGACACTTGGAAACCAGAAAAGAAAGGAAAAGGAAAAAGGAAAAAAAAATAAACGGAAACACCAAATCCCCGGATGTCACGGAGAAATGGCGCCATGTCTCCGTGACATCAGGAGACATGGCGGCGCACGAAGACTCCAGCTCTCCGTGGCGCACGATCTCTTCTCCTCCAATTTGAAAATCCCGATTTCAATAGAATTAGTCTCCCACTAAACTGCACAGTCTTTGCCTGCTTTTAGAAACCGTGTAAGCTATTATTTAAGAACGGAACGCCTACACTCCGTGCGCCACGGAGCACCTCCCCGTGGTGCACGGAGATGCTAGCTCTCTGTGCGTCAAGGAGAGTTTCTCCGTAGCACACGGAGACTCCAGCTCTCCGTGCATCACGGAGCAACTCTCCATGGCGCACGATCTCTTCTTCCCCAATTTTAAAATCCAGATTTCAATAGAATTAGTCTCCCACCAAACTGCACAGTCTTCGCCTATTTTTAGAAACCGTGGTAAGCTATTATTTTATGAGAGATAATGGAAATTGAAGTAACATTTCACGTCCTTAAGTTCAAAGGTTTTCATCATAAGTTTTCATTCCCCATTCTCCTATTTTTCCTCTGGAACTTAATGTAACAATGTTATTAATATAAATTGCATATATAAGCGACAAATGCAATCTCTACATGTGTCGTCGTTTTTCTCTTTGCTACTTGAATTATGTTTCTTATTCACTCAAATATTCATTTTTGCTTTTCTCATTGCAATGCCTACTACAGCCTGCCCTAGATGACACAGAGGACATGGTAATCAATCACGATATTGAGCAACTGGACAAAGGTCTCCATTAGCAGGTTATCTCACACCACCATTTCCATACTCTCAAGAAATTCTGCCTATATTGAAATTTTCTTGTTTCCTCTATCTCATAAGGATTTTTGTTCAACATTGACAGCAAGTCAAATCGTACTTTGAAGAAGCTATCGGATCGCAAAGCATTTTCTCATCTTGACCATGTGGCAAATGGGAGTTCTCCTGATTTTGACGGTATATGTTTAAATATAATTTATTAGCAAAAATATTCTCCTACATTTTAGAGTGATTTTGGATTAGCCATGTTGGATTTGTCTGTTTTCATCTATCTTTTTTTCTCTTCCATTTATCTCCCTCGGATGTTAGCTACTATGCTGGTCTAAAATAGGATCAACTACTGCTTCCTTGTGTTTATGTTACCTGATTCCTTCACATTTCTTAAGTTATACTATATATAGAAGGTTTGAAGTCGGTCTGAATTATTTATGGAGCTCCATATTCATATTAAAACCATTTTTACCAGTTTGAATTATGTGTCATATGAAGGATTAATTGACATTGCCAATTGCCTCAAATGAAAGACAACTAAAATCCACAAATGAGATAAATGAAAGAAGACCACAGAAACAGATTTTTGTTTCTGAAAAGTCTTAAGATTGTGAAATACTTTTTTGATGCATTATGATTTTCCAGAGAAAGCAGAGGATGACCATGAAGAGCTCTTCTCATTTGTGAATATGGCTTGCAATTCTACATGTATGCGTTCAGCTTCAATTTTATTGTAAATTACGAACATTTCATTTTTTTTTTTCATTTTTCCTTTTTTAACTAAACTGATCTCTTATAAATTTGTGCAATTTTCCTAATTATAGTTAGGGTGTGTTTGATAGGGAGCCAATTCCATGGAAAATGGAATTTGTTTTCCATTTTCCCACTTTTCCTTTGTTTGATAGGTTTTTTTCTAGGCAAATATTTTTCCCACTTTTCCTCACACACTCACATTTTCTTGCTTTTCCTTGAAATCATTTTCCCACCAAAGTGGTGGAATTTGGTTTTCCATGTTTTTTTTTTTTTAGATAAATGAAAGAAGACCACAGAAACAGATTTTTGTTTCTGAAAAGTCTTAAGATTGTGAAATACTTTTTTGATGCATTATGATTTTCCAGAGAAAGCAGAGGATGACCATGAAGAGCTCTTCTCATTTGTGAATATGGCTTCTTGCAATTCTGCATGTATGCGTTCAGTTTCAATTTTATTGTAAATTACGAACATTTCATTTTATTTTATTTTTTTTTTCATTTTTCCTTTTTTAACTAAACTGATCTTTTATAAATTTGTGCAATTTTCCTAATTATAGTTAGGGTGTGTTTGATAGGGAGTCAATTCCATGAAAAATGGAATTTGTTTTCCATTTTCCCACTTTTCCTTTGTTTGATAGGTTTTTTTCTAGGCAAATGTTTTTCCCACTTTTCCTCACACACTCACATTTTCTTGCTTTTCCTTGAAATCATTTTCCCACCAAAGTGGTGGGAATTTGGTTTTCCATGTTTTTTATTATTATTCTTTTTTTTTTGGAATTATAAAAAATTCTAAATACAATGTTAAAAAAATTTATCACTTTTATTGACAATTTTAATGCAAAACAAAGCAAAACAAATGATATTCGATATAGCAAAAAAATTTGTATTTTTTTTTTTCAATTGAAACAAATTCTAGACCTAATGGTAGAAAAAATTATCGTTTTAATGGACAATTTTCATGAAAAACAAAGTCAAACGGATATCAAACTTTCAATATTTTTCAGGTGAAAAATTATTTCAATCAAACACAATTAATTACAAATCCCAGTAAAATAATTTCTAGACAATTCAATTCCCTAGAATTCATTTTCTTTTCACCCATTTTTCCAACTTTGCAATCAAACGGACCCTTAATAATTTAAGTTTTTTCCTGCTTTTACAAATCAGAGATAGTTCCTCCATTCCAGACTATTTGCTTAATAATTTCATTTTACACACTATTCAGAATCAAACATAATGTAGACTACAAATGTTTCATATAGAACATATACTTAAATGGAAGATAACTCAACCCATTTAAAATGCTAACAACACCTACAACGTAACGAAACTCATACATCGTATATGCAAAAACTAGTACTAGTCAAAAGATGCACTAAAATGAAACAATTTTGGCATCGAACAAGATGATAACCAAAAATTGAAGCACGACCAATGTGCAATAAAGCGTTTACTTCAAAAGCAAAAACATCATAGCACTCCTCAAGACCATGATGTTTGAGGTGAATCTCGGAACCTCAATATGAAAATTTCAAAACCTTGAAGAAAGAATTGCCTTTTCAATGAAAATATTTCCCCAAGCGAAATAAATTCACTATTTTCGGAGTATAAGAAATAGAAAGCTCCATTCATAGATTGCAACTAGCTTGAGCCGTTACCACTACTTCACTGGCACGATAAGAAAATCTAAATTCAGAAGGGTAAAAAATAATTCAGCCTATTTACCGTTACTTCTTTCCACCTGACTCCAAGTTCAAATTCTGAAGGTTCAGCAATAGATCATCAGAATTCAAGTACACCTTTTTTTTTTTTTTGGTTAACGCACCATTACGAGCGCCCACACCTGCCCACCTCTAGGCCTTGGTGCAGGGGTTAATCACGGGATATGCTTGGATTGACTAGGGTTTGTGTGCATTTCCACTGGCTTCCATTGAGGTTCTTCTCCTTAGGATTCGAACCTACCTCCTTTCCAATCCACCTCTTTTTGCGATGGTGTGTGTAATTTCTCGAGATGCTTCAATTCTCCGGAGAGTAATAAATGCTGGATTGTCGGCAATAGCTTGACCAATCAGTTGAGCACTCTTGGCCTCACCCTGGTAGACAAATTCAGAATTTGCTAGATATCAAGCAAAATAATTAAAGAAATCGGCAAAAGGGGACAAATCAAAACCATTTGCTCGTGATTGAATGTACATTCTCATTTTTATTGATGAATTTACATGATCAAAAAACATAAGGTGAACGTTTTAGTAGTTGAGTTAAAGTACTCTCTCATTTTTACTTGATGAAAAAGTCTTAAATGATAAGAAGATAAAAGGTGAAAGTATTTGATGATACCAATCCTTGAGAATTCCCGAGCACTAATTCCGAGGAGTTCATGTCGATTTTGTGGTAGAATTTTATTGATCTCTTCGGGCTCATAGTCCTCGGGCTCGGGCCATGCAACCCCTAACTCATCAGAAGCCTACTCCGTGCTATGATGCCCTAGGAAGTAAAGTCCTTATGAGAATGTGTTACCTCATTCTAAGAGGATTAGTGCTATGATGCCCTAGGAAGTAAAGTCCTTATGAGAATGTCTTACCTCATTCTAAGAGGATTATAACACCAAAGTCACTTAACCATCCAAACACGTGGGCAATACCTCTATAAATACGTCATTCTCATCCATTATCAAGGTATGTTTTTACAAAAATTTTCAGCATATATATTTTCATAAATTCTCTCTCTGACTTATGCATCGGAGGGGCGACGAGGACACACCTCGTTTCAGGTACCGGAAGACCTCGTGCGTACTCATTCTGCATCGTCAAGCTCGGAAGTCGACATGTACGATTTTTTGTTGAAG